AGGACAAACGTAATTCGAATGGCCATGAAACACAATTCAATAAAATTTAGCTCGATCCGACTATCCAAACTATCAAATAATGCGAAAATGAACCTTGACAAATTCTTTGAACCAGTGGTGGTACTAAGTCATACCAGAAAGAATTAATTCAATTAGGCACTCAGTGACTGAGCTATAATTTATAAAGGCTGCAACGTATGGGTACTGACGTTTGGCCCACCCTGTACTATCTGACGACATTATGATACGTGTATTAGCATCATGACTTGAATTTTGTAAATATTAACTGAAAGTGACTGAATGCTAAAAATGTGAACTCACGACATGTGGGTACGTCACACCAGTCCCATCTCACTCCGGGGTCCGTTGTATAGCACCAAACAAAGCTAAACTCCCTCTCTGGATTCCGACAATAGTTGTGATTCCAAATACCATACCTGTTATATAGTCAGAGATTATACATTATCCGATAAACTTATACCATGCCTGTATAGCCAGAGATTATACATTATACATTATACACTATACATTGTACATTATACATTATACGTTATACATTATGCATTATACATTATACATTATACATTATACATTATACATTATACATTATACATTATACATTATACATTATACATTATACATTATACATTATACATTATACGTTATACATTATACATTATACATTATACATTATACGTGAAATATTTGTTTCGATTATTAACCGTCGACGATTTTAACTCGGCACACGTCTTGGTATGTTATAAACCTACAAAGATTGGCGAGAAGTTAAAATACTTGATATTGTTTTTTTCGAAAATCACAAAAAAAACAGGGACAATTGCCTTATTTCACCTTTCAGTCATGGCTGATATCTCAGACATTATCTGAGGATCTTTTGAATACCAATTCTGACATGTGTAACCTCCTCTTGTTATCGATTGAGTCCCGTCGTATCCTGCTCCTCTGTTTGCTCTATCAATGGCATCCCAACATTCCCCACCTGAACACCGTTGGTTCGTCAATATCATTTGAGGGTTAGTATTTATAGTATAAGTTTTAAACTAATTACTACAATTCTATTACATTTATTGATAATTATGTAATTGTTGGAAATATTTTAAACAGGCATCCGGCATATCCTGTCCAAACCCAGGATGCACTACATGAAGAATTCGTTGTAACTTTTTTTGAAAGCATTAATAATTAGCGTTAATAAGTAACACCACATTTTAAACAACTTGGCTGTTAATATGGCAGGAATGATTCAACCAGATTAATTGTCAGTAGCATAATCGGAAAATGAAAGTTGCAATGATCCTCCAAACAATTTTTAACACATTCGTTTACAACCGAAACTTACCACATACAGATGAAATGATCGATAGGAGGTTTACCAAGAAAAACATTATCTTTCTGATCTCAGTGGTTGCTTTTAATATCAGTCTGTAGTTTGTTGGCATTAAAAATCAGATCGTTATGTGAATCATATCAATATACTAAATAATGGGTAACAGTGTGACAGGTCATGTTACTGATATCTGGATATTATCCGGTTGGAAGAGACAAGGACAAGTGAAACAAGGAAGTTAGGAGTAAGGGCAAATTTTCGGCGTCAACGCCATCTTCAGGCTAAAATTGTTATAAATGTTAGTATATAATAAATGCTTCTATACTAGTTAAAATGCTAAATTAAAATTACACACACTGAATACAGGTTACATCAAATGGTATTGTACATTACATTGAAAATAGTGATGTACACACGTTTTACACTCTGTCCAAGTACATAATATCTACTGAACAGCAGGGTCGTGTGCTATTTGTTTAAATTTGTCTTTGAATATGTTGTAAAAGAAATCCCTTAAGCTTCTCGCACTCTTCTTTGTTATTGATACTAGGTTTAAATAAATTAATGTAGTAAGCTTCTGTCACTTTACGTTTAATGGTGCTATATAAGTTAATTTCTAAAATATCGAAGGAAATATCTGGTTCTATGTTATCGTGAAACTCTGAATAATGAGCAGCCAACGCATTATCAGGATAATGCGTTGGCTGCTCATTATACTCCTAACTTCCTTGTTTCACTTGTCCTTGTCTCTTCCAACCGGATAATATCCAGATATCAGTACTTCAATCATGAGACTAATAAACAGCGAACTACTCCGTTATTTGATAGGTCATGTTACTATTGATCATATAAGTCGTGTTCCATTGTTTAAAAATGTGCAAACATATTGTCCAATATTGGTTACATAATGAAAAATTAATCGAACATACCTTACAAGACGTTTTCATAACGTACGAAATGCGACGGTTTTCCCGAAATTTCGCCATATTTTCGGACCGCCAAAATTTCGGTCGTCGTAATAGAATCCGTCGCATTATTTTTAGCTTATTCCAATAATTGTGGCTTCATCGATTCAAAAGTTAGTGATATGATGGTGGGACAAATAAACACAATATTCCATGATGAATTTAATGTCAAGTAATACGTTTTAAATTTACAATAAATTACATTTATGTGCTAGCATAAACGTCTTATAAGAGACTAAGTCAAGATAAACAATTTAATACTAAACTCAATAAGTGAAACTGAAAGAGTCGAGCCGGACCCCTTAGAGGAAGATGAAGAAATCGATTTATAAGTTTCATTTTGTTTCAACATGATTTTACCGATTTTTAGAAAATTCTGAATTTCCTTTGTGTCAGAAAACAAAATGATGAAAAATACCCTTATTTTCTGTGACGTCCGAAATGTGACGGTTTTTGTTCAATTTCGCCATATTTTCGGACCGCCAAAATTTCGGTCGTCGCAAATTGGTCCGCCACAAAAATGTCTTGTAAGGTAAATTAAATTTCAAAGAGTTCCAATATTGTATTTATAGAAAACCGAGTTTCTAGGGTATAGTGTATGCTAGTCAAGCTATAGTCACGTAACACGAACGGCAGGGTGTATCGTATGATAGAAATGAAACGAGTAAATAAACGGGAGAAACTATTAAATAAAAAAGTAATACGAAGTGAACGTCAACAGATAAAAACATTTTTGTTGCGATATCCGATTGACTTGAATATAGACACACTACGTGTCTATCGCTCAGTATAGTACTCAACAAAGCTGGCAATAGTCAAAAGGATCCCTTAAAATTAAAGATGAAGGTGCAAACCAAAAGTGAGCTCTTCACTTCCGCTCTCCGGATATACATACATTACATGTACTCCATACTAAAACTAAAATATCCTAAAAGATATCTCAAAATACCATATTACAACATATTTGAGTGTCAGCTGTAAAGCCGGTCAAATATAATTTTCCAATCTGAGTGATTCCTCAAACGCTCGCTGTCATCCTACTTTTATTATAGTACTAGAAAGCCCGTGGTAACAGGGACGAAGCTAATAGTATTCTTTGAAAGAAAGTTTTAATTGCATCAAAAAATATCCATCCCAACCGAAGATACAGACGATTTAAACATAGAACACTTTCAACACAACGTAATTACCACAAAACCGATAAAAATGACGTTAAAACAATCTTTGCACGTGCATGTGTGCATTAAAACACCGTTGCTATGGAAGGTTTTGGTTGTTACCTAAATTCCTATTTTTCATTTATTGCACGTGGGCGGTCGTACATACAGACAACAAAAACAATTCTTTGAATTATAGTAGAGATTATTTACCTGAAATATTTTAATTAAAGACTTCCCTGTTCATAAATTTTGAATTTATCTAAAAGCTCTCTGTGCTTTATACCTTACAAGACATTTTTGTGGCGGACCAATTTGCGACGACCGAAATTTTGGCGGTCCGAAAATATGGCGAAATTGAACAAAAACCGTCACATTTCGGACGTCACAGAAAATAAGGGTATTTTTCATCATTTTGTTTTCTGACACAAAGGAAATTCAGAATTTTCTAAAAATCGGTAAAATCATGTTGAAACAAAATGAAACTTATAAATCGATTTCTTCATCTTCCTCTAAGGGGTCCGGCTCGACTCTTTCAGTTTCACTTATTGAGTTTAGTATTAAATTGTTTATCTTGACTTAGTCTCTTATAAGACGTTTATGCTAGCACATAAATGTAATTTATTGTAAATTTAAAACGTATTACTTGACATTAAATTCATCATGGAATATTGTGTTTATTTGTCCCACCATCATATCACTAACTTTTGAATCGATGAAGCCACAATTATTGGAATAAGCTAAAAATAATGCGACGGATTCTATTACGACGACCGAAATTTTGGCGGTCCGAAAATATGGCGAAATTTCGGGAAAACCGTCGCATTTCGTACGTTATGAAAACGTCTTGTAAGGTACTTTCGATTCTAACAGTATTTAATTTTCCTTTAGCTTACCGTTCAGTGTTTGGCGAGACTTTGTCATCATGTAATTAGAAATTAGAATTTAGAAAATTAGGAATCAGAAATGTAAGAAATTTCTAATTTCTGTCCTTTCGCATCATAGCTGAAACACACAGCCTTCTAAATTATACTCGTTCTCTCACCAAAAATTGGGATGACTTTGAAAAAACTACAACCTAGCCACAACAAAATTTCAAAATGAGAGTGACCACTGCATTAGGCTGAATTGAAGCTACAGTTAGTAAGTTACCAAAAGACGCATATTGTGCACAACGATTTACGTTTGTTACCTTTGTTAACGTTTGTCTGTATTTGGTTTGACAACAGATATTTGACATACCTTTTTGTTCGTTACTAAATTGAGCAAGCAGTTGATTGCTTGGAAGATCGATTTTTTGATGAGATCGAAATTATACCAAATAGGGTGCAAAATTATCAGCTTCTACCTTAGATTTAAAATATAGCGATTCTTTATGGTTCCACCAATCTGAATGGCTTTGAATCGTGACGAATTATTCTAGAAAGTTCCAGAATATTCTATAAACAGTGGAAGGCCTAAGCTAGCAACCTTACAGAATGGCCACTGTATATTTTATTATTGGTAGTCAGTCAACAGTCATGCCATTTTAGTAACTGAAAATGTTTACTTAAGTGATAAATGCAAATTCGACATATTTTAGTGACTTTAAAAACTGATACAAGATTGTAATCTTTAAAACGTCATTAAAATTTCAGTCACAATTACAATTGATAAATTAACATAAACACCTTGAATTATACACAAATGAAATCAAAGAATCTAAATTTTGCATACAATTTATATTTAAAGTAAAACACAAAAATAAATTGATCGTTGCTCGGCAGTAGATTCGCGTCGGACAACTTTAACTCCCTTATCAACTCAATCGGTCAATTAATTTAATTTATGAAAATTCTGCCAATAAATCCCAACTTTTCTGTCTCTAATTCAACTTTAGTTAACTTTGGATTGATACGAACAAGGTTTATTATCACCACCAGATGTAATTACTTTAGCGACCATAATAAAATACTAATGTAATTATTCATCACGCAATATGTAGGACAAATTGAATTGATTCAATGATGTTTCATTTAATGGTAAATTCATTTATCAAATAATATATTACGGATTAATTTGGAAAATTTCCTCTTCTTCCACGCAGTCGGCAAAGTCGTCAGGGAATATTTCAGAGTTTGTCGCTGTCAGCGGTTCATCGCCTGATCCTCGGGTAGCTTCTTCAACCTGCACAAATGATGTTCAAAATTCAAAATAGAATCGTTAAAAACCCATTGTCTACGGAGTGCAAATAAATAATTTTATGTTTCAAATATTGAACCTTAAAAACTTAATCAAAAAGCGAGCACAGCGAGGCAACTTGTGTTTCTTGTCAGTGAAATTGATGTCGAATGAAGAATTTGATTAGGTTTCCTCAATCGCAACTCACCTGTTTCTCCTGGTACTTCTTTATAAGGTGTTTCTGCATGGAGGTGGGAGTTAGAGGTGGAGTCACTTCACCTGACTGCGCCAATTCTGAGAGTCGTACTTGTGTGGTGTCAATTGGGGCAATCTAGTGGATAATAGGAGTTCATGTTTGTGAACTGATTATTTTCAGGCATTTCTTTTCGTGTCGTCTCTTGAGAAATTTTACGATTAACTTTTTACAAATTATTGTGCCTTTCATTTGTTTCAAAGTGCTCAACTATGGTAAATTAGGAGCAAGTTTAATGTTTATTATGTTTGGACAAAGCAAACTAAATGTGATTCACTTAAATATGGAATTATCCCCAGTATTATATAATAGTAGTAGTATTATTATACTATTAATTTTATATTATTATTATACTAGCGGCAGATTCATATTGTCGCAATATTTTGAAGGGTTAATACTTTAAAAGTGACTGAAATGGTATTCGAATGAAATTACCTTGGTTTGCATCTCGATGCCAGCATTGCTTTCATACGTCCCATAAGAGCTGAAAAGATAATTATTGAAGGGTGGCACTTGTTATTTGACCTCAGACTTTACTTTTTTATGCGATGGTTACCATGGTTACCATGGTTACCTTGCCGATATGATTACTTACGGAGCAGGTGCAGGGGTGTGTCCAGACTCCAGCCCCCCCTCTCAACATTACTTACGGAACAGGTGAAGGGGTGTGTCCAGCCCCCCCCTCTCAACATTACTTACGGAGCAGGTGCAGGGGTGTGTCCAGCCTCCCCCTCTCAACATTACTTACGGAGCTGGTGCAGGGGTGTGTCCAGCCTCCCCCTCTCAACATTACTTACGGAGCAGGTGCAGGGGTGTGTCCAGCCCCCCTCTCAACATTATTTACATAACAGGTGCAGGGGTGTGTCCAGCCCCCCCCCCCCCAACATTACTTACGGAGCAGGTGCAGGGGTGTGTCCAGCCTCCCCCTCTCAACATTACTTACGGAGCAGGTGCAGGGGTGTGTCCAGCCTCCCCCTCTCAACATTACTTACGGAGCAGGTGCAGGGGCGTGTCCAGCCCCCCTCTCAACATTACTTACGGAGCAGGTGCAGGGGTGTGTCCAGCCTCCCCCTCTCAACATTACTTACGGAGCAGGTGCAGGGGTGTGTCCAGCCTCCCCCTCTCAACATTACTTACGGAGCAGGTGCAGGGGCGTGTCCAGCCCCCCTCTCAACATTACTTACGGAGCAGGTGCAGGGGTGTGACCAGCCCCCCCCCCCCTCTCAACATTACTTACGGAGCAGGTGCAGGGGTGTGTCCAGCTCCTTCCCCTCTCAACATTACTTACGGAATAGGTGCAGGGGTGTGTCCAGCCCCCCTCTCAACATTATTTACATAACAGGTGCAGGGGTGTGTCCAGCCCCCCCTCTCAACATTACTTACGGAGCAGGTGCAGGGGTGTGTCCAGCCTCCCCCTCTCAACATTACTTACGGAGCAGGTGCAGGGGTGTGTCCAGCCTCCCCCTCTCAACATTACTTACGGAGCAGGTGCAGGGGTGTGTCCAGCTCCTTCCCCTCTCAACATTACTTACGGAATAGGTGCAGAGGTGTGTCCAGCCCCCCTCTCAACATTATTTACATAACAGGTGCAGGGGTGTGTCCAGCCCCCCCCCCCCTCTCAACATTACTTACGGAGCAGGTGCAGGGGTGTGTCCAGCCTCCCCCTCTCAACATTACTTACGGAGCAGGTGCAGGGGTGTGTCCAGCCTCCCCCTCCTCAACGTCTGTCAACAGACCTCCTGGTGCTCTGAGCTTCTTTTTAGGACTTGGTTTAGCTTCTTCTCTCTCTAACTCCTCTGTAATAATACTTAAACTTACTTCGAGTTATATACTCATCATTAGACCACGCAGCAGCCTGAAATATTCCTTTAGGTTTCCGTTTAACAAAAGTAGCAGAATATTATTTTTCAAAACGTTTTCTCTGCGCTGCTAACACATTTGAATCAGCGTTTCAAAAGAAAACTGGGGATGATCAAAATTGGCGTAAAAGTGCTTATGAAAGTGCCGTGTACCGTAAGGACCTCTGGTGTCTGTTTCTGTTCTCCAGTCGTTTGTGTGAACATCACCTCCGAGGTTAGAATATCCGTTCCTGTTCGGCTGACAAGATGTGTTTCAGATCAGTTGGGTAAAAATATTTTCTTCCAATATATAGTAGCAAGAAGTGCAGCCGCATTTCCTTTGTGGGCACCCTATGAATTTCCCGATTCACAGCGTTGCATATAACTCATTCATAGTGCAATTTGAACTCATTTCAATTTTTTAAAGCTTAATTATTAGTTACTTACATTGGACCAGTGTTCAATTCTCCTGGCCAGGGACTTAATACCATCTCTATATTTGATACCCAGGTACGCTAAAATAACTATCAGAGCTGCTAAACAAACCTGGTCGGATATATAAGTTAGAATTAAGTTATATGAAAGAAATCAATTTTCCAGTAATATTTCAATATATAGTTCAGAACAATTGCCTTTTAGTTAATGTCTTAATTGTTAATATTTTATTAAAACATCTGAATTTGTATAAATAATTGAGTTTAAAACTTATCTTGGTGTTTTGATGTTTCAAAACATTTGTGTTTTATTGAAAATTTTATTGAAAAGTAAAAGTTCAGCTTGCTGCTCACCCATCCCATTACAAATGCAATGATAGCTAAAGTCCGGGAACTGTTATCTTCCGATTCAGTTGCTTGTACAGCCGTAGGAAATGCTAAAACCTGGAAGGGATCATTATGAGGGAATTATATTGTCACTCGACGTTGGGTAACCATAAATTGCTAATTCTTCAAATAATGACACATATTTTAAAGCGAGTTTCTAGTAACCTATCCCAATCCATGCCTATGAGTCAAAATGTAACCTGTTTCGTCTGATTGTTTTGGAAAAGATTATTCCATACTCACATCGCGACCCATAGTATCCCACAGTTCACTGGTTCCCAGGTTCTTGTAAATCCGCTCAGCTTTACTACCAAGTACCCTTCCTTCTGGTGGCAGTGTAACATAGAACTGAATCTTGACGTTTTTACTTTCTTCCAGTTTTATCAGCTCCGTTTTCACTATCTAGAGAGGAAAGAACAGTATTAATCAGTAATAAATGTCAAGTCATCAGTGTTAAATGTAATCTAAAAACAGTCTTAACAACATAGTGACATCTTAAATAACTATAAACAGCTTATGGAACTAGAAACAACGTTTTGAGGTTTTGGTGACCACTGATAGAATGTCCAAAGGATGTAGATAATGTTTGGTCACGAATTTCTCTAACGAATAATGTTACTTTTGGTTACTTTAGGTTACTTTTGGTTACTTTTGGTTACTTTTGGTTACTTTTGGTTACTTTTGGTTACTTTTAATGCACTTTTAGTTACCTTGACCACTGGTTCCTCCGCTTTTGCTGGTTTCGTTGCGATGTTGGCTTGTTCAAACGTTTGTTTCAATTTCGTCTCCATCCTTGAAAGTTTGCGATGATTAAAATAACGGATATTTAATCGAAAATTTGAAACAAATATTGGCACAATGAATTTATCATTCTCTAATAAACACTAAAACAGCTTATAATTAATAAATCCCCTGCAGCCTTTGTAAGACTCGCTGTTCAAGTCTTGATAATGGTGTGACAATAACAACAATTCTGGTGGACCCATTTAAATCTCTCGACCTATACTCACTTTTCTTTCCAAGCAATGTACATCTCTGTGTTATTGGCGGACCCAATAGAAGCCTCGTCTGCCTCATCAGGAACTATAGAAACTTGTAACAAGTACGGAGCAAGAGTTATAAGATCGTCCGGAGCTACTTTCTTTTTTGCTGGGTCTTCTTTCTTCTCACCGCACTGACCCGGCTGGAAACTGAAATTGTCATGATGGTTGGTGGGGTGATTAACGGGTGATACTCGTAACATATTTGTTCCAAATATTAGATCCAAGACCGTCGACGAGTCCAACTCGGTGCGCGTCTTGGTAGATTTTAACCCACAAAGCTACAATGGGATGATCGACTGGTATTAATATAAGTGACACGTTTTTAAAGAGTTTAGCAGGACTTGGAAAACCGATCGCAAACAAGGAAGGTAAGGACCACGTACACGTTCAAACGATTATAGCTCTAGGTTAACCCATTAATAATCACAAAAGTTTCCAACAAATTCACAAGCTTCGACTGGTACTCACCAGTACAGTAGAACCACAGTCAAACAGGCTTTGTGGCGGATCATATCAGTTTAGTTATCTGTCTCAACTGTCGCCTCCTTTTTGTTACACCATGTCAGGATATGACTACATCTTCTGTTTGGGAGAAAAAAAACTGTTACAGACGTAATTGGACATATTTTCATCTGATATTAGGTAAAACTTTTCTTTGAAAGATCCTTTTCGGTAAGTGCTGCTCTTGAAATGAAATGGAAAATCTTTCTAAAACAGGACCATTGACTTTCGAAAGAAAACACTTAGCATGCATTGAAAAAAGGTGGATCTCTTGCTTGGAATATATTCTGCTTTTCCTACAATAACGTGACTAAAATTCGCTTTTATATAACTTTCTCTCACGAAAGCCTTCCCCTCTAGGAAAGTTTCTTACGAAATATCGCACTCCTTTGAAATTGGAGCTTCATCATGAGTAGGAGGGTTTATCGAACACAGATTATTTCGTATGGGTACAACTAACACAAGGAATTTACGCCATGGAACATGTAAAATACTTATTTCAAAAGGTAGAAAAAATCATAAAAAAAGATTCCAAAATAAATCTTCATCACCATTTTCCACAAATATCTTGTGTCTGACTACTCCAAAATATATTGTTCCCGGACACAAGTTTATAAAAGCTAAAAATAATATAGCAAATCGCAATACAAAGCCAACCCAGGGAGTCAGTACAGACTTAAGCTGGGCAATTGAGTAATTAAAGGGCAATTAGAGGGTCATTAACTCATTATGATCAGTAACTGCAGCTGAGTTGCGCGAAATTTAACTATGAGCTTGTATGTTGGGAGGAGGTTCAAATGTTGATTCACTGCGGTTTAACTTCCGGTCATTTGGGTAATTAGAGTAGATCGCAAGGATTGTGCGTTTATCTAATAGTCAAATGTATGGTAACTTAGTAACTTATGCGTGGTAACTTAGTAACTTACGTGTGGTAACTTAGTAACTTATGCGTGGTAACTTAGTAACTTACGTGTGGTAACTTAGTAACTTACATGTGGTAACTTAGTAACTTATGTGTGGTAACTTAGTAACTTATGTGTGGTAACTTAGTAACTTACGTGTGGTAACTTAGTAACTTACGTGTGGTAACTTAGTAACTTATGTGTGGTAAGTTAGTGACTTACGTGTGGTAATTAAATAACTTGTATATATTGCAAGCTGTTCAGAAACATTGCATAGCATTACAGCAATTTCAGTATCTGCAGCCTGTACATCAAATTTAGTATCTTAATGTTCAATTATAAAGGGAGTTCCTTTAACTATTGTAACTTAGAGTTGAGCATCAATTAACTAATTAACTATCAATTAACTAGCAATTAACTATTAGAACTCATCCGACAGTCGTATGACTTTTGTAGCATATCAAAGTGAAGTTCACTACTCATACCTTAGATGACAACTCGGAATAATGTGAATAAAAATCTTGCGAACCTCAATTATACCTAACTACCTAAGCAAACCTAAAGACTTAAAGAGAGGATAAACTTTCAATAGATGCAATACTATAAATGTTTAATGATGCTCTGGATCAAGCAAGTCTAGTTAAATACTAATGAGATCGTTTACTTTCCTGGAGATGAAACAAACCGCAAAACCTTTTAACCAAACAATAACGGATCTGCATAGACTAGACATCTGACAATCAGTTAAGTGAAGCTGTAAAAGCTTGGAATACAGATTGCAGATGGGTAGGACAATCAGTTATGTAAAACTATAAAAGCTTGGGCACGCTCGAAAGGCCCGGGATCACTAGTACTCCCCTCCCAATACAACTACAAGTAAGCAGTGTATGGCATATATAATTACACGAGAGCACCACAAAGAGGGTGACCACACCCCTATACAGTACCTAATGACAGTCAGCAATCACATTACGGTACTCCTAGCTTTACTACTATTGGAGTACTTGATGGTACTTCTAGAGCCATCAGGTTATTATAAGGGGGAATCGATAACCCTACTTTAGGGAGGGAGGGAGGGAGGGAGGGAGGGAGGGAGGGAGGGAGGGAGGGAGGGAGGGAGGGAGGGAGGGAGGGAGGGAGGGAGGGAGGGAGGGAGGGAGGGAGGCCCCTATACATTAGTGTATTATGGTAATGCTCCTTATGATTTCCCTGCTTGTGCGAATACAGTAGGACTGGAACTGTAAAGCCGTAATTACATCTGAATTCTATTAAGATTCTAATGTAACATACTTTAAGGATCATCGTCAGCTTACGGCTAAGTGTTACCTAACCCTGCTAGATGGTTCTTTTGTTGAACAAGTACACGCGGACCTCGCCTCATGATCGAATTGTCATCAAATTGAGGACGTTGAATGCAACGTCTGTAAACCTATGACTATGGATAATGGATATGACCCAGGTCGTTTGCAAGTAAGCAAGGAAGAAACAGTAATGGGTTACATCAAAGTTTTAATAAAACTACAATTGAGTGTTGATGGCAATATCGCAAAATTCAAAACTACAAATTAGATAAACATAAAAATACAAAGTTATAAATATGTCATAACAGGACCGGGTAACTCCCCAAACACAAGGCACGAATATGAGCAAGGTACCCATGCAGCTGCACTGGGCTAGCAGCACGGAAGTCGTTACCCTCTAATTTAGAAGGCTAATGTCACGAAGAAGCTTGCAATGTCAGGTATAGTAGTGGGTAGTGGGTAGTCAGGTATAAGTAGTGGCTTTGTAACGATTTAATGATCATCATCGATATTTCTTATGTGCGCATCGCACATGTATTGGATAAGTTATTAATGTGAATAATAAGAATTTTATCAGGCTCTGGGGGTGGGGTCCCAACTTATTCTTTATAGGGGGGAGGGGGGTCCCAACTTATCCTTAGTCATCGTCGATTGCCAGGAAAGGTGAGATTGCAATAAAATCGGAAAACAATTAAAAAGTGTCTCCTGATTAAGAAGTTTCAGAAGATAATTTGACAGGGCCGAATGAGTTTCTTCCTGGAATAGTTAAATGAAATGGAAGAGGTTAAATTGACGAAGCAGGCAGCTTATAAGTTAAATGTACGTTGAGACACACATATTGAAACACTGCGAGATGACCGTTTACCAATCTAGAGATTAAACCTTTGGATGATATGTTTGATACTCCTCTGTTTATAAGTATACTGCTCTCTGTAAGTGTAACTACTCTCTGCTGGACTGGACTATTTATTTTCAATTTCTTGATGATCCATATTGATTAGATTGTGCCCTGAGCTTAAATCAAATCAGAATATCGTGCCCTTATGTTAGCGTCATCTCATCAAATGAAGGCGTTCGACTTCCCCAAAATATGACCGGAAATAAAGATTAATGGATACAGTAATGAAACTGGCTGAGTGTGCAATTCTAGTTCAAGCAATACTGTAGAGCGTGAAATATTGCTAAATTCCTACGTATATCCCAAAAAGTGATGTGAATCAGTAAAGCAATTTAGAAGTGGTCGAGGTTTAACTTATTCATCTGACCAGGGAATGAGGATCGTCCTAAATTTACTAAAATGTCACCTACATAATGAAAATTTACAAAATAACAGATCATTGGCTCTCCTATTTGCATTATATGCATTATATGCATGTGCAGTAGTGTTGATAGTGATCTATCAAGTGAACACAAGAAATGGGAATGACTGCAGTCAATATCCTTTAATCTATTGTTTGCCATCCTCCTTCCAAACAGATCACAGTGCTGGCAAGCACGACCGTTGCATTTATTGTGGGTATACTATGTACCCCATTTACTATTATACCCCCTTTACTATTATACCCCCTTTGGTACACGTTACAGGCCTCTTTCGTGCACGCGAAGCGTGCACTCCGGCCGGAGGCGGCGGCCGAAGGCCGCCGCCTCCGGCAGGAGTTTTTCAGGCATTAAGACTCATCGGAAGTCGTTCGACAGATTTATTTTTAGTTCAAAACATTCTAATTTGATGTCAAAGATGACAGGAATAAAAAATAGTTATGTTGAGATTTTTAAGAAATTTGCATAAAATACTCGCCAGCACTGTTATACGAAATTCGGTAAAAAACCCAAAATCGCCATATTCAGGTGCCTTAAAAACCATGTTAAAATTGAGTTAGAGATCTGAAATTTTTCAGGGCGTCTAGACGTTGACCAAATCGACTGCAAAAAAAGTTTCAGGTTTCAGAAGCATCGGGAAGTGGGTTTTCTAGAACCCCTGTTTTACGACAGATTGTCGTGATATCTATATACATACATATATATATTCAGGGATAGACGCTTTGCCAGTCAATTGTAGCCTGTATTTAATTGTCCATAGATTCAAAAGTATAAAAGATACAGCCATTTCCGACCACAGTTCTTGAAAATAATTGTTTACACTTTAGTTTACATTGTATAAACAAATTATTTGACGTCATGAACACCCCTTGATGACGTCATCAAGTTAACCGTTTTTAAAACTTGATTTTTGACAAAGTAATAACTTTTAAAAATGATTTTACACCATTAAAAAGTAATTGTATTCAAAATCTGAGGAAATTTTCATCTGAGATAATTGTTCAAGCATTCTGAAAATCTACCGGAAAATTTTTCTAGCTTGCTCCTTCATAAAGATATTCGTCATTGAAGTTTGTGCTTTTTTGAAGAATTATTTTATAAAAACGTCAATTTTGCGATTTAGTATTCTCTGGTGTTTGGCCATGCCTTGGGTTGTGGAGCTCAGTTCTGCTTCCTATAGGTATAAATTGTGCATTAGGCTAGTTTTAAAGTTGAAAATCGAAAAGTTGCACACGTGGGGACACGCCCAAATTGATAGAAAATCGCTAAAATCACTGAAAATTGCTGTTTTCGTCATTTTCTGTCAACTTTAGAGTGCTGTTGTGATTACAGTTCTTCTTGAAATACTTTGAAACTTTGCATGCTTATCGAGCTATATATAAAACAATTACGTGCAAAAATTTACGGCAATTCAATATTGGATGCGCACGCAACGTCCGCTCAAAGTTTCCACGTGCGAAAGGTGAGAATTTTGCTCATTCGTGATTTCCAACAAATTCTGCTTTGCCACGACAGTTTAATGTCATTATATATGAATTTAATGCCAACTTGAATGAGTATTAAGTGGCATATTCAGTCAGTGATCGACCGATATGCTTACCAAAACACAAGGAAATGTTTTTAAAGGAAAAATTTCGAAATCGTTGAAACTTCCTCCTTATTAATGAAGATATCAGTTTATATTTCGACTTTATAAAGTACCCTGACATTATAATCAAAAAGAGATGATATTTTACCAAAACCCATAATCATGGGTAGAGTGGACCGCTGCCAGTGTCTCTCTTTCCCAAACAAAAGGAAATGATATTAATTTGATTGACCGTTCTCAAATGCAAAATGATACCGAGAATGAAATCGGTCGCTCGCTTTTCCCATTCATTTACAATTGTAATAGATTAAGAAGAACTACCCAAAGGTAGCTGTACTCGGCAATAAAGATTCAATAAACTTCAGCTAATTCAATAAGTAATAGCTACCACCCTTACCCCGAAATACTAGGTATCGACCCGAACGCAACCCAAAGAGATTTTTACAGCATCTGATTGATGTAATCAATCGAAACTTATTACAATTCGTAAGCCGTGAATGAATGGGAAAAGCGAGCGACCGATTTCATTCTCGGTATCATTTTGCATTTGAGAACGGTCAATCAAATTAATATCATTTCCTTTTGTTTGGGAAAGAGAGACACTGGCAGCGGTCCACTCTACCCATGATTATGGGTTTTGGTAAAATATTATATAATGAACTGCTATAACCATCGTATCTTATATACTTATATAATAACATTAACGTTAAAATGAAGTTATAACGTTATAAGGCTTATGATTAATTGTACTTAGAAACGCAAACCTTATGAATAATCAAAACCCTACGAAGCAGTTGAATAGAGTGCCGTAATTGAAGGCAGTGAGAAGTGGCTTTGGGGGAATTTGAACGCCTTTGACAGAATAGCCAAAGTGGTAATAGTGATAAAATTAGTCATTATAATGGTGATTTCAGAATAATGGTGGTTAAATTGGTCAGTGGATAAGTCTAACTCTCGCAGATTAAGATGGAAAAACGAGGCACGATAAAATAACGAGTGTTGGTCGAGTCAGTCGAATCGTACACTCTCGCAAATTACAGAGATTGCTTGCCTGACAGCTGCAAAGCGGCCCACATCACGTGACAAGTATAATTAGCTAAATGCTGCACGTGCACTGTGCATCACGTGATCGTAATCATTTGCACGTGGTGTATGATAGACGGCACGCGGGCTGATTTACTCTCCCTCAATGGGCAGGTAATCCAGGTATTGGACAAGGAACGTCATGACGTCCGTTTCACTGTTAGAAAGCTCAGGATCTGACGATCACCTGACAGAACTGTGAGCCAATAGAACTGCTTGGGATACACCACGTGGGCCAATGGCAGAGCTTGAAATGGATGGTGTGAACCAACAAGATTGCTAAGAGGTGATCCTGCGGAGGAAGATTAACCACAGGGATAGCAGTACCATGTGTGACTCGACTAATTAATTATAAACGTGGTAATATAAACGTTTACCAATCCCTGGGGTCATGTAAACACGGTAAATGAACTGATATGCTTAGCTATAAGGCGTAATTTTGTTAAAAGTCGTTCATGCATTAATTCAGGCTAGAAAGGGCGTGGCGGGCTCCGACAATCCGATTTTCAAATTTTGGCGACAGACTAGAATCTCCAAATGAGTAGTTTCAGTCTGCAAGGTTTGTCAAACATGAAAAATGGTTATGGTTTACAAGCCGAAACTAACTATGTCTTAAACTTATCTTACCTATAACCATAACCGTATATCTATTACCAACAACAAACCTGGCTTGAAAGCCTTCTTTAAAACGGGTGTATTTTCAGTCCTCAGGAAAAGATAATGACCATTTTAGAAAAATTTAGTGACTGAACTAACTACTAACTGCTAAATAACTAGATAGTAGATACTTAAATACATGCTTCTAAAGTACTAAATACTGGTTCCGCGCATTTTACCAGTAGAAAGTTCAGCGATTTTTAGGATATAGGTATTATATCTTTGAGTCTTTGGGAATGATCGCTCATCCGTGTAGTATGCGTTATACTGTCTGGGTGTGGCTCACTCTCCAGCATTGCCTCAACTATTTTCAATTGCTGAGTTTGTATTATTAATATAAGATAATGTATATATGCTAAATAATATATAATAACACTATATATTTGTGTAAATTGTAATGGCAGACTATAACACAGCATACCATGCACAGACCACTGTGCAGACAGAGGATCCCTCACAATCCTGATCAAGAACTGCTTAATTGGAAAAAAAGCCACATTACCAATAATCTTTGATGATATATAATGATATGAATCCTTGATGATTAATCTCATTAATGACCCAGCCACCTACAACTTTGCAAAGGGTTCAGTCGCGTTTCAGTTCACGAACACCAGTAGATTGACAAGGATTATAAAATACAGGGTTCCAGTATTTGGTCCCGATGCTCTTCATCAGTGAATTTTCAGCCAACAAAATATAAAATATTATTGGAGTTCGGAATTTACCCTCATTAATCATTTTGATCCAGGTCAAGCCAGCTCAGGGCCAACTGCGCGCATGCAATGCAAGCGCACTTGCGCCGGCCGCGCGTTTACTGCACTAGCTGCTGAAAAACACTTTTTCTACATCAAAATGTTGTTTGTAATCGACGCCAAATTAAAAATTTTCCGTCGTGATGGCCAATAACGTTGCATTAAATGAAATTTGTGATATGGTGCTACTGTGTGAATGATCGCCTAGCAACAAATGCAAAGAATTGCAAACAATAAATTCAAAATAATAATTTAGATGAGCATATATTTACAGCAAAATTTTAATTTACAAATTGAAGTAACAACGTATTCACAAGAAAAAAAGTTGAAAAAATTACGACACACGTAAGAGACTAAAAAGTGGTGATTGCAGAATACTTTGCTTTTTCTCGAAAATTAAGATACAGTTACTGAATCTAAATTCGTTGCTCGATTGCATTATCCTTATTCGCGTAGATTGATGGATGTTCATTCGTCATATCTCATGACCACATGACGAAAAACCGCATTATTAGACAAATCAATTATTTGAGATAAAATCAAATTTACTCATCTGTAACGAAGCAGATGTTCGGTTCTAATGTCAGTAGAGACGCATTTTGTCCATAAGAAATCAAGGACTTAAAGGTGGGAATGTATGGTATTTTACAACATTTTTAAACAAAATATTAAATTCAATCAAGCGCTCTCATACTGTTTTCTCCAAGCATTATACTTAGGCTGCAAGTTCCTCGCAGAGGGCTTAGTGCTCTGCAAAGCAGCCTCAACATCAGCAGTAGTAACCGGATCTATTTTCAGTTTATTTGGTCTATTCGGATTATCCGGATTTGTCTCCATTTCCTCCAGCACACTAAAAATACTCCTTACTCTCCTCATAGCAGCTTCCTTACACACCAGCTGTATATCAGATCCAGTGTAACCCTCTGTTATGTCAGCTAATCTATCATAGTTCAAATTACACTCGATCATAACCCCGCCCTCCTGAGCAATCTTAGGAGGCAGGTGATGTTTAAACATTTGCTTCCTCGCCTCTGCAGTGGGTAGGTCCACTAGAATACGTTTCTCTAGCCTCCGAAGCATAGCGTGATCCAATTCCCAGGGAAGGTTACTGGCAGCTAACAGGAATACTAGATCGTCTGATTTTGCTAATCCGTCCATTTGGACTAAGAGTTCTGTTTTCATCCGAAGGGAACCTTCGTGTTCGTTTCCGCCTGTACTGCCACGCTGTGACATGAGACTTTCAAGCTCGTCCACAAATATGGTGGAGGGTGCGTGGTATCGGGCTAGTTCGAATAGTACGCGGACTAGTTTCTCGCTGTCTCCGCGCCATTTGCTGACGATACTGCTGGCGGAGATGTTGAAAAATGTTGTGTTGCATTCAGTAGCTACAGCTTTAGCTAGGAGTGTCTTTCCTGAAGAGAAGATGAGTTTTAAAGATGGATATTTTAACATTTTTTAGCATGTTGTAAATCTTGTGAGCTCACTTCACACTTCACCGTTATTTTCAGACTTTCTATTGTTTGTAATTCGAAAATGTATATTGTTTGTGGATGAACTAGACCTGCTTGAGCGAGGGGAACGGCCTATAGCTCAAAAAGGTTGTATCCGTGTTAAAATCTAGACGAAAATTTGAAACTTTAGCTTTGCAATTAGTAGCTTTTATTATAATCCCACATAATTATTACTAAGTGATAAAGTGATAAAGTTATCTTCTTCTTGCCGTCTAGTTTTCTAAACTTACAGAGCCTCTAATATGCGTGTTGTTATGTTTAGTTTGTGCTGTAAATCTCCCTGTTCTGTGCACAACAACTAGTATAGTATAAAGAAGAAGTATGCAATAAAATAGAGTAAAATAGCAGACTGCTTACTTGGCCTAATATGATTCAAGTTAACTATCATTCAAGTAAAACTTTAAGCAAACTTTTATGTAAACCTTTAACTGTTTATTAAACCAAATAATTGAAAAATATTTTACCAAATAACTTAAAATAATGAATAATATATCACCTGTGCCGGGAGGTCCGTATAACAATAATCCTTTCCACGGCGACAATATACCTGAACAAGAAGGTGAAGTTAGGTAAATATGCGAAATATGCTAAATATACGAAATTTAACCGATCATATTATGTCGTGGATACATGATGAGCCAGTTTGTTATTTTTGGTTTGACAAGTGATCAGCGGTTAATCTAAAGCAAGAGTTGAAGTATTCAGCGATTAATTTGTGTCTTATTGGTTGGTTTGTGTCACGTGGTGTGAATACAGTGTTCCGATTGGTTGGTCACTAGTTTGCCATGGTAACCTCACCGCAGCTGTAGACTACGCTGCGTTTCTCACAATAGTCTGCTTATTGCTTATCTGAATCAAATTTTAGATTCTTACCACAAAAATTGCATTGTTGAACTTAATGATTTTAGAAAGTAGAATTTTAGGAAGATTGTTAGACACGCAAAATATTAAACATTTTAAATTACGGACAGTTGGACACAAATTTATTTTAGAGTTTAACAGTTGATGGCAACAATTTACAAGTTTTACAATAATTACAAAGCAACAGTTGTGTCTCGAACAAATAAAATAACATCATGCACAATTCGAGTTTTTAATATTGGTTGATAGAAAGTATTGGTAGTTGTTCCCAATGCTTTGAAAATCATCTAAATTGTCTTAGGAAGCTATAATGGGTGAAAGTAAAACACTGAATAAATATTTATTCAATAAATTAGGAACTAAAGTTACTTACCAGTGAAGAGTTGAGGGTATTTAATGGGGTACACAACAGCCTCCTTCATGATTCTCTTTGGAGCCTCCAACCCGAATATATCACTCCACCTCACATTAGGGTTATTGAGATAGATGTCGCGTGATATTGTTGCTGCTAACTCACGCATGTCTCTGAGGAAATACAGTGTTATGGTTTAAAGCATATTCCTGAGGTTAAAAAATACTATCTACTAGTAGAAATGTTCAGTACTGTAATAAAAGACGTGGTCACTGGTTAATTTATAGTCATTTAGTAACATTGTTTCGTAACTATTTGTTAACAATCATTAATTGGTCACTATCATATTTGGTTACTATTTGGTTACTATTTGGTTACTATTTGGTTACTATTTGGTTACTATTTGGTTACTTTTTGGTTACTATTTGGTTACTATTTGGTTACTATTTGGTTATTATTCGGTTACTATTTGATTACTTTTTGGTTACTACCAGTTACCTGTTAGCAAACTGAGCGAGTGGTTTCAGTAACTTATCGTCACACCCATTCAACAATGACCCCTGGTTTGGATCATGTATAGTATCATGCAACATCTGCTTAACGTCTATTATCGTCTTGTAGTTCCCTTTTTTATCTGCCTTCTTCTGGGATACTGCTGTACCTGGTGGATAAACACGTGACGTTAATAATTTAATACTGACCTCTGATTGGTTGAATCGTGAGAAAACTTTGTGTTTTACTGATTTTCTTTCGCGTATTTTGATTGGTTGTCATGTGGTACAGTTTAGAAATCCAGTGATCTGATTGGCTGCTCACCAGTTAGTCCCATATCGAACTTAGCAGCATCCTGCTCCACACTATTATCGTTACCATGGTTACCACGATCCTCCTTCTTCTCTGCGCTTTTAATCCTCCTCTTTTCCTGTTTTTTCGGAGCTGGACTGTTTCCTTCTGATATCCTGAATAGAGACGGAAGTTAATTACTTTTAAGATCAACTCAGACCTTTTTTTTCTATTTTTTTAATTTTGATCCGTCCCCAATCTCATAATAAATCGTCTCATTACACCATACTAACATGCGCCATGCACGTGTTTATATGCTACTGATTGGGGGTGTACCATGTTAAGACACGTGACATTTGATCGGTTAATCGCTGTCACGTGTCAGCAAACTATGGCTCACCTCCCCACCTGTAGCAAGATCTATCAGCTGTATCATGCATTAATTAAGAAAAGGAAATGAAATAATCTTTAGAAAAATTCTTTTTAACAGTTTGTTTGTGAATTTAAAGGAAAAAATTAAGTTTCGTGCAAAGGAAAGAGTATTGCATAGTGCAGTATGTGGTTTTGATTAGGCAATAATTGCTGAAATTGCAACTATTGTAAATGATGCTCCTGATGCAAATTATGGTGCAATTGATGCAAATTATGCACATATTCTGATGCAAATTATGCAAAATGTGCTAAGAATGATGCAACTTGCATGTGATACAAATGAAGCAAGTGAGATAGCCGTTGCTAAGGTGAGATAGCCGTTTCTAAGGTGAGATAACCGTTGCTAAGGTGAGATAACCGTTTCTAAGGTGAGATAACCGTTGCTAAGGTGAGATAACCGTTGCTAAGGTTAATAATGACATTTGCCTGGCCAAGTGGCCACACTTGAACATGACGGAAGCCTCTTCGGTTATCTGTCATTTCATTAAATCTTATATTTCGTTGCCGAGATGATTATAAATGAAAAGAATATTATCGGTGATTAGAATTGATTTAATATTATGAAGTTAAGTGGTTTTGCTGAGTTAATATGCTTTAAATGAGACATAATATGGAAAAAAGGGAGCGTTCAGCCGCAAGATGCTTAATGAATCTCTAAATGGTTTACAAGAATGCTTTGAAAAACAAACCTCAATTATTTAATGTTTGACTGGTTTTCATGAGACACACAATGTATAGTAATATTCCAATATATATATATATATATTATGTATGTGCGGAGTACAACTTGTTATATTAAACAATATATATTGTGAGACTTATCACAATACATAATATTAAAGTGCCAGCCGTAAAACAAGCTGTGGCAAAAAACACATGACCACAGGAAACATAAAGTTATGGTGATCAGTGAACACGTGGTATTCCACAACAGGTCACGTGATATTTTACCGTTAAATATTTTTAACATGAGTCTATTGTTAATTGTTACCCTCATCTTGTGCAGTGAGGGACACAATGACCTGACATTCTGAGGAAAGTAAGCTAGTAAAGTTATCTCTGCAAAATTTAGCGTGCAGCGGTGCTGGTGTTATTAATATAGCTACTCCAGTAGCAGGGAGGGGTTGAGTGTGCACTTCGATGTATAGAGTTTTTTGCTACTGAATCGGGTTAAATAGGTCATTGGTAACTCAAATCACCGAGGGGCGCATTTTGTATCGCTAGTCCCAGTCCTACAGGGCGAAATTTCTAAATTGCCCTCAGGCGAAAATTTGGGATTTTTGTATCTCGGCTTCTAAAAGACTTAGAGATTTGAATATTGGCTTAAAATAACCGCAATAGCCTTATTTATATACAAGTTATGAAGCAATCTAAGGTCTCAAGTGCCTAGTTTTAAAGATATTCACGAAAAACCGTTTTTTGGCTCATCGCAGCCTGAAATACCGGATTATTTTTTATCTCGAGCTAGAATGGTCGTAGAAACTTCTCCTATATTGAAAAATATGCGCAATGAGCACATTTATATAAGACTTATGAATCATTATATGCTCTAAAATGCTTATTTGTAGAGATATTAGCAAAAATCGGTCATTTTGGTTACACCAATACAAATTTGGTAATTCATTTTGTCTTTTTGTTGCAAATATTCACGTTGCAATTTTCAAGATGCGGTTTGTTGCTATCGATAGGGCTTTATATGCTATTGCATGGTTTTGATACAATCCTTCAGCACCTGACATAGGCAATAGGGGTCACAAACCCTGAAATGTCAGGAACTGGGCAGTGGCCGAGATAAATATTTGATAATTACTTGGACTCTTGACTCACATACATCTTTTCAACGGTTAGTTAGACATCTTAAACCAGTATTGAACGTTGAGTGAAACTTCTGATCCATTTGTAGCTCAGGTGATGTGCCCCAGAACCTCACGCCTGAGTGACAGTGGGCCTTATCGATCATGAGCAGCAAATCACAATGTTTTTGGGCCTCAGAGACAAGGGCATTCGTACTCTTGGCTTAAATTGGCTCTTCGTTAGTATCATCGATCAGGTTTCTAACTTCTATATCATCTGCCTGTCCAGTGTCCATCCGTCTCTTTGGGATTCATTATTACTTCAAGTTCAGCCATTTCGCTTCTGTTCAACTGTAGGCGTAATGAGGGACTTCAGTCCAGCAATAAAGTCAATATCTCTAGATTTAGCAATATCTGGTTTCGCTACTTTTAAGGTAATTGTGTTCAGCAAGAAAGTTTGTAAGTTTTCAGTCGTACTGCCCCAAAATATTGGCCCCCAGGGCACCAGTAATGCTGGAGCACTGGTAATGCACATGGTAATTATGCTGATTTTTTGCTTAACATAGCTCATTTTTAAGTTCCTTTTTCAGCAGTCTTCCCTATCATACTGGCAATAAAAACAGATTCATCTCCTTTATCTCTAAATATAATCTTGAACCTGAGCTCTACAGGTTATCGAATGTCCATCTTAGCATTTACAATTTACATTGAGTCATAAATTAGAATTATGTGGGGCACAGAGTCACTGAAGGACAGGTATCGTTGGGCCCGAAATTCTTCAAGTTTTGGGACTCAAAGTTGCAGGTGCGAGGGGTCCTGGGGCTGACAATAATTGGGGCACGAGGTTGGTGGACATTCGATCTAACCTGTATCGCCAAGGTTCAAAATTATATTTAGAGATAAAGGAGGTGAATCTGTTTTTTGCCAGTATAGCAGTATGATAGGGAAGACTGCTGAAAAAGGAACTTAAAAATGAGCTATGTTAAGCAAAAAATCAGCATAATTACCATGTGCATTACCAGTGCTCCAGCATTACTGGTGCCCTGGGGGCCAATATTTTGGGGCAGTACGACTGAAAACTTACAAACTTTCTTGCTGAACACAATTACCTTAAAAGTAGCGAAACCAGATATTGCTAAATCTAGAGATATTGACTTTATTGCTGGACTGAAGTCCCTCATTACGCCTACAGTTGAACAGAAGCGAAATGGCTGAACTTGAAGTAATAATGAATCCCAAAGAGACGGATGGACACTAGACAGTAGACAGGCAGATGATATAGAAGTTAGAAACCTGATCGATGATACTAACGAAGAGCCAATTTAAGCCAAGAGTACGAATGCCCTTGTCTCTGAGGCCCAAAAACATTGTGATTTGCTGCTCATGATCGATAAGGCCCACTGTCACTCAGGCGTGAGGTTCTGGGGCACATCACCTGAGCTACAAATGGATCAGAAGTTTCACTCAACGTTCAATACTGGTTTAAGATGTCTAACTAACCGTTGAAAAGATGTATGTGAGTCAAGAGTCCAAGTAATTATCAAATATTTATCTCGGCCACTGCCCAGTTCCTGACATTTCAGGGTTTGTGACCCCTATTGCCTATGTCAGGTGCTGAAGGATTGTATCAAAACCATGCAATAGCATATAAAGCCCTATCGATAGCAACAAACCGCATCTTGAAAATTGCAACGTGAATATTTGCAACAAAAAGACAAAATGAATTACCAAATTTGTATTGGTGTAACCAAAATGACCGATTTTTGCTAATATCTCTACAAATAAGCATTTTAGAGCATATAATGATTCATAAGTCTTATATAAATGTGCTCATTGCGCATATTTTTCAATATAGGAGAAGTTTCTACGACCATTCTAGCTCGAGATAAAAAATAATCCGGTATTTCAGGCTGCGATGAGCCAAAAAACGGTTTTTCGTGAATATCTTTAAAACTAGGCACTTGAGACCTTAGATTGCTTCATAACTTGTATATAAATAAGGCTATTGCGGTTATTTTAAGCCAATATTCAAATCTCTAAGTCTTTTAGAAGCCGAGATACAAAAATCCCAAATTTTCGCCTGAGGGCAATTTAGAAATTTCGCCCTGTAGGACTGGGACTAGCGATACAAAATGCGCCCCTCGGTGATTTGAGTTACCAATGACCTATAGCTATTTAACCCGATTCAGTAGCAAAAAACTCTATACATCGAAGTGCACACTCAACCCCTCCCTGCTACTGGAGTAAGCGGTGAATTTTGAAACGCAGGTTTCATTAATAGCACAATGGTGTTGGTTTATTCAGAATCTGATGATATATCTAAAACAAAATTACTTGTATTACATACCCACCATCAGGCTTGGTTGGTCTAGATGGTATATATACTTGATTTTAAAGAATTAAACAGTTGGATTATTAAATAATAAAGCAAAAGAGGATTCCAGTTAAATGATGACCTAACATTTAAATTTCAATGTTTGACTGATCACGAAAATCGAAGATTTCAAGCAAACATATCAGAAATCTACAGTTCACATAAGCAAAGATGCAGGCAGCATAGAAGCAAACTTATCAGAAAGTTCAAGAATCAAAACTACTGATCTTAAATCAACAACAGTGAAACCTTTAAACTCCGGACAACAAATTCTGTAGGTCTAAAGTTCCTGACATAAAATACGTCCAAAATTTAGATATTTAGTCGGACTGGTTTTGATATTTTCCGGAGTCTATCGTTTCACTGTATCAAGAAGAAGAAGAACAGATAGAGGTAGTTACTAATTATAATTAGTTACTAATTGTAATTAATTACTAATCAGGGGTAGAAGTAAGAAAAAATACCCTGCGGCGTGAAGTTCAGTTCTCCCTATCATTGTAGTGTGAGGACGGTTTGGTAGAGGTAGTCTGGTAACAGGGAATAGTTACTAATTAGTTACTTATTAGTTACTAATTAG